CCGGCACCCCCCCCGAGGGAACCCTCGGCCCGAGGCCGAAAGGCCGAGGCAGCCTCAGGAGCCCGCCTTCTCTTCAGCGGAGAGGCGATTTTAAAGCCCCACGGAGCGTCCCCGAGCCTCGGTCCGCTTCCCCGCTCGCGCCGGGCGAAAAGTGCCCCTGAGCGCCCGGGCAGCGCTGCGCGGGATGGCGCTGCTGCAGTTCTGCAGTCTCCCGGGGGGCATTTAAGGGGCGCGGGGCGAAACACCCACCGCCCTGCTCTTGGGGTCCAGAGGGTGGGCGAAGCAAAGGGACCGACTCCCCCCCCCGTTGCGTTCAAGGAGTTTTCGATGGCCACGTCCAAGGAGGGCCCAAAAGCAGCTCGCAGAAGGTTTCTGCACATAAGTAAAATTACGCGTGTCCTTTCACAAGCAAGGCTCTCTCTCACACCCCTCTGAACAAAGCCCTAATTTTGGCTCTAGCGACAGTTCGGGTGAATTTCCTGCTCTTGGGGGATTTTTTAAAAAGCCACCTGCCATCTATCGTTTTGCTATTAATGCAGACAAGGAAATACGGTAGTAAATCCATTTTTGCTAAGATCCATTTTTAGAAGTAAAAAAATAAATGAGAACGTGTTGGAGCTTCTTTGGAAGCTGCATTCATACATTCAGCAAAATGAGGAAATAATTGTGATGATTCCCCAAGTCAAACGCTATTGTTACCGTTTTCTTTTTTCACTTCATCTTTTTGGAATGCTGGTAAGATGAGGTTTGCCATATAAATATGGTATGAAGACACAGAAGAGCAGCACAAACAATTCAGAGAAATCCAAGTCTTCCTGCTGCCAAGATGAATATTTTCAAGGCAATCTTACCAGAGGTTAGGGAGATTTTATCAAATGCTTCCGCCCTGCAGGTTCAAACTTTCCTGGAATACATGTTGGGGGAAGGAATCATATCAAACGAATATTATCAGACGTTACTTTATGAAAAGGACACTGATGATTTAGCAAGGAAGATTGCTCTGACCCTTCTTGGAAAACAGGCTGAGCAACTGAATTCCACAGGCCTGTCCTGTTTACAGCTTTCTGGCAATCCTAGAGGAAATGCTAAGAATGGAGCAGTCTCACTGAGGACTAGAAACTTGACTGGTAAGCTTGGTTAATATAATACGATTCTCTGTGCGCTGAATGTTTCTCAATGTTTGTGTGTGGGAAGGGAATAGTTATTTAAGGTACATCCACCCTCATTCCCTGAGCAACACCTCTTCCTGGTCAGTTTGATAATTTCAGCTGGCTTTGTCTTACAGATAGATAGATACATACTTAGCTCTAACGCTAATTTGAATTTAATTCCAAAATCAATAAACACTCAATTTAATTCTCAAATAGGATAAATCCCCCCCCCCCCCCCC